ATTCGTATTACATAATTTAAAATATTTTAGTTTTAAAATAGCAACACAAAATTTTAGCATAAAAATCTGAATAATAACAGCACAACATCGCATGACATTCTGGCCTTATGTAAAGAATAATATATCTGTTGATCGTATCAACTTGCGGTCACAGAACTCAGCTTTTGGAAAGACTACCCTTAGATACTCCCCACTGCACATGCAATTACAAAATGATCTGTCGGGCATGCAGGAATTCCATCTACGTGGGGAAAGGCGGAATAAATGAAAGCTAAGTGGAATCGCTTGAATGCAGAGCGAAAGATGATTCTAACTTGTGGCAGATGCTATAGAAGGAAACGAATTATGAAAGTGCCGAAATTCAAGCTCATATTGCATTAAATACACTTTATTCCTTCACTTGAAAAACAAGCACATTATAAAGAAGGAGCTGAATAAAAGAAATATCACATTCGTGAAATATCCAATTTAAATGAAATGCTATCAGAAGCATCTCCGGTAGTCTGAAGTACCACTTCAACAGTTAACTTCGGGATGTGTGACAAAAAGGTTTAAGAAGCGTTCGTTAAGAGCCTTTTACTTTTTTTTTTTTTTTTTTTTTTTTTTTTCATTTTACGGAAGTTGCAGCAGTGACAAATGCTACCACCGCTCAAACTGCTTAGTAAGCATGCAAATTTCTTCTAAAATTCTTATCGGGTAAATTCTGGTGTTCCTTTATAAAATAATTCATAATATACTAAACAACAAAAAGTAAATTACAGAAAAAATGTATCAATTGGAAACATTTCTGCGCATATGAATACAGGAACTCGCTTCTAGTTTTCCAGCTGCTTTTTTTCAGTTTACTTCTAAAGTACAGAATACGATATGCCAATATGAATTTTTGGAGGAAGAAGACCAAATTCTTGCCTCACAGGTAATGAAGAAATATAAAAGTTATAATTCCGCTCTCTTGAGTCCAATTAAACTAAAAAAGAAAGCATACTTCATGCATTTCACAATTATACGTTGTGTTAGCACAGAATTATACGTATCAGTCTCTATTCACTGTGCATGTGATACGTAAGTTTTTTTTTTTTTTTTTTTTTTTTTTTTTTTTTAAATAAATACTGCAAAAAGTTGATTTGCAAAGCCATGACTATCTTAAAACTCTGTTCTACATGGATAAAATCATGAAACCAACTCGTTCACCTGGGTTCGAATCCAAGCCAAGCAGAACTACCAGTGTTTAAAAAAGTATATATTACATACATGTTATTATACACCTATTTTATGTTTCAACCATATATTTATTCCAAAAGGCAATCAGTAATCCTAGTTACAAATGGATTTTTGTTTTTGTTGTGGTCGATATTTCGAGCAATCACCTTGAGAAGCAATTTGTAGCATTGTTCCTTGGATAAAACAAAATTTTATCCACTGCATTGTATAAAATGCAATATAGAAGGATTAAGATATCAGTTAATTATTTCGGATAATTTAGAATTTTCTGACTTCCGTTTTTTGTAACCTACCTAAGTGCAACCACATTAGCAGAAGTCGCCAAGTTTTCAAATGTTTAAACGATAGCAACCTTGTACATAACAATTCTCCAAATCCATTTTTTTGTTGTGCTCCAAGTTGCAAAGATTTATGTAGGCAAATCGTTATATTTTTTTTTTATCTTGAATTCAATTTTAAGATACTTGTGGGGCTTGTTTACTATGGAAAGCACTATGGTAAAATTGCTGCAGTCATACATCATTTTGCCGCAACATCGCTAAGGAAACGACTGCTTATAATCTATTCTTAAAACGATCGCCAGGAAATTTCTACCAGAATAAATAAAATAAAATTCCGCTTGTAAATAGGTTCATTGATTATTTATTTATTTTTCGAGATAACTCGAAGACTAACTAATTAAAATAACTCGATAACCAACTAATTAAAATGTAAAATATGACATTCTTTTTCTTCTGTCGAAAATCTATCATTTGCGTCAAGGTAAAGTACATTATACTTTTTAATTCTAAAAGTGTTTTGAAAATTGTTGATGTTAATCGTTAAAATCTCCCATATTTCAGAAATTAAGAAATATCTTCTTTGTCAATATGTGGTAATTATTATTAGTACACTAGGGGAAGTACTATGCCAGTTAAGTTAGATTGAAAGTAATACATAACTGCGAGAACGATACCGCTGTAATCCTTCTCTAATAACGATGCAAAAAATACGATTCATAGTCATACGTTTTTCAGTCTGATGCGATATGGAACATACATAAAAACTTTCGACAGAAAATAAACTAATTCTCTCCCATTATATTACAACAATGGCACGCAGTTTTTTATAATTTTCGTCTCTAATCAAAAAATGGGCGTAAAAGCTTGAGTTCCTCTCAATATTTCACCTATATTCAATTTTAGTCGATTAAATGCACCAAAAAAATGTATTATAATTGATCAGAAATCAATAACGCAAACAAACAGATATTCTTTATATGCATAGATTTTGTACAATTTACAAACTTTTGATTAACAAATTCTAAAATTTGAAAGCCTGCAGTAGCCAACACTTTTCGAAATAAAGCATTTTTATCTCCAACGCGCGACACTGTTGCCACTCAAAAAAATAAGCGCGAAAATTTAAATAATATTTCGGCTGATTAAAGTCGTACGAAAATGGGAATAGCCAAAGCGAGCAGTGGCAACAACTTTCGAAGTAAAGCCAAGGAGGTAGATTTTCGGTCGCCGCTTTTTCGGATGGCCTAGAGTCTCCTCTTCCCATCGATAGAAAGACTTGTGTCAACGATAGGGGAATGGCCGGTTTATCGATTACGAGTTTCAAAGTCCCTTTGTGTTTAGAGGCAAAATGAATTTTGCGAAATCTTGGAGCGAATTTAAAGAAATACTTCGCAGACACGAAGTAGAAACTGTAACAAAATATGTTTATTACTATGGAAAGTCATTCGATAAAGAGAGTAAGTAATTTTTGAAGATGTAATGAGTAAATAAAAATCCTCTAGAATGTGCTTTCTTTTGTTGTTTAGTTGATTAGTTGATATTTGGCCATTTGTGTTCCAAAGAACTTATCAGCACTAATTTGTATTAATTTTATTTTATGCGTGCGTAGATCTAGTTGATGTTGCGAGATTCGGTCCAAGTTGAAAAAAGGGTTTATAGACGTTCATATTCATTAAATTGTTGCATAACGTGTAATAGCGTTATGTTTGATTTTTATTTGGTTTCATTGTCAGGTATTGCATGTTTTTTTTTTTTTTTTTGAAATAGCTGATGCTTCACGAAACATTCCGTACTATATTTTAAACATTAAACAATATACCGTGTTAGATTTGAAAATTTTATTGTTGTTTCTTGAGAAACTCGACAATTTCTCGATGACTACTATATTTTTCATCCTTTAGTGTATGAATGCAGTCTGTTGATTTGAAATATAATCATTTAATAGTCTATAAAGAAAATCCATTCTTTAGTTTTATCATTAACAACATGTTTCAAAATACCTTATAATAAACACTACCAATTCAAAAAATATTCTGTTTTATTTTCAGGTAATAGTTCACCATAAAATTATAATGCATTGAAATATCAGGAAGTTATAATAATAAAGATATTGAATTTTAGAAAACAGGAAAGTTTTCTGAAATGTATATATATTTCTTTAGTGATGTGATATATATATTTCTTTAGTCAATGAATGCTACTTATCTTGTGTGTAAAATCACATTACTGTCTATTTTGACTCTTAGCACCAATGGACTAGCAGATAAGATAGCTGAATACTGGATGTTTGATCAAGGTACAAATACTGTTGAATGGATTAGCTGCATGGGAATTTTCCTGTTCTCCTTATATATAAGTGAATACAAGACAGTTTCCCATTAGACCTTCTCAAAGGCATCCCTTTTGCGTAAGGCAGCTAGCTCATTCTATACTTTACCTAGCATATATAATTTTAATATGAGACAAAATGACATAATTTTTTTACATAATAGTTTAATGCTTTTAATATCTCTCTATGTTTGCAGTAGGTGCTGCTTAATGTGATTACATTTGCCCATTTTTGATAATATAAGATGATGAGAAAAGTATCTTTTTAAAATAGGAATTGAATTAACTATAAATATAACTAGCCACTTTCTTAACATTTTAATTAGGAAAAATAAAAGTTTGTTTATCAATTGTTTACAGTCTTCATTGCAAAAGTTCATTTGAGTAGTCCATAATGTTTCTGAAATTTATTGGACCAATTCTATACCTATAATCTTAATACTTGGAGGACATCCTTGTTTAAAGAGATTTTGCCAATGTAAAATCTGAAATTGGGCAAAAATGTTTTCAGGAATTTTTACCTCCCTTTTGAAGAAGAGGGAACTGTGCTGAAGCCCTTCCAAATCAATAGCTATTGAAAATTCGTATGAAATTAAGTTTTTTTTTTTTATTTTATTTTATTGTTTTGCGCTTTTTTCTAAATGCTTGATTAAAATCATTTTCGTTCTTCAGTTTAAGAAATTTATTGTATAATATTTTGATTATATTAACCAAATTGAGCAAATAAAATTACAGCAAATGATGCATTTTTTATGTTTCCATATATGAAAGAGCAGAACTTAGAAATTCAATAGCAATATACACGACATCAGCTGCAATACATTAAGCAGTGTCTACAGTATGTAGTATATATAGAGACAGTTAAATGTATAATATGTTTATAGAGATCTGTAATTCTTTCTTTTAAAAATCAAAGTATAATGTTAAATGTATAATATGTTTATAGAGATCTGTAATTTCTTTCTTTTAAAAATCAAAGCTTATCAGATTGTGATCTAAATCAAAATTTCTTTCCAGTTGAACTAACTCCAGATTTACGATTAAACTGGTTAGATGATATTCCCTATTTCCACTTGGGCGAAAAACCTATGTTTGCCATCAAGGAAAAGATCTGAATAAACGTCAAAAGGAAAATTATGCTAAAGAAAAAATGAAAAGGTAAAATAACATTGTTATATTTAAAAATTTATACAAAAATATCACCTCTTGGATTATATATATATATGTGTGTGTGTTTTTTTTTTTTTTTTTTTTTTTTTTAGTGTCAAACTGATCATGCTTTTGGTAAAGCATATTCCAAGAACCAGACAACTAAAAAAGTTAATTGTCCAGCTGTAATTAATGTTACCCGAATGTACAGGATGCCTCAGTTCAAGGTAGAAGTTTATTTAACTTTTTGTTCTAAGATGGTCTTAGTAATTTTAGAGAATTTTTTTTTAAGGAAAAAATATAATTCTGTCACGTATGAGCAAGATGTATTGAAGGTATTCTATGATAAAGTATACATACTTTTTGACATAAAAACAAAAGGTATTTTTAGAGTCACAATGTAAAAAAAGAGAAATGATTTTTTGTGTCTCTTTATTCAACATATTTTTCTAAATAGTTTTTTTTTTTTTTTTTTTTTTTTTGGCCAAAAGAGGGTTTTTAACAGTAATATTTTCCTAAATAAATAATTCAGTAATTGACATGCAAATAAAATGATGTTTTCAGGCCAGAAATAAAAGGCTTTTTATGCTAATTATATTCTAACCAATTTGCTACAAATAGAAATAAGTTGTTCAAAGTGAAGTTTTATTGGTTATGTTTCTTTGAAGAAGTAATTTGATCTATTGTTATAAAAATGGAAGATCCTTTTTACAGCTTTTTTTAAAGGAAAGAAATGAGAAATGACTCCTCTTTTTTTTTTTTTTTTTTTTTTTTTGAATAATTTGCTATGAACAGAAAGTTTTTAAAATTGAACCTTTATCAATAATTAGTTTTAGATGACTGTGCTGGAATTTCTAAATTTTACTGTGATAAATATGTTTAAATTACAGGTAGTGCCAACCCGAAAAAGAAAGATTATGATATCTCGGAAAATTAAGGAAAAACTAGCCAATAAAGATAGTATTGCTGGTGAAGAAGTTTTCATGTTTAATTTACCTAATAGCCAAGATCATCAAAATCATCTAATGGGTAACATGGCTGCAGTAATAGAACCTATAGATGCTAGAGTGCGGCATTTCATAGCTTCTAAAGTTAAGAATGGAAAATGCAATGCCACTGTAATTGCAGAGCTATTAGAAGTATACGTTTCAACTGAATTGGGAGAAACTGATAAAAACGCGCAGACGATTTTATCCAGAAATGGAGGCAATAAGGAAAATAATAAGCCAAGCAAAATCCGATATTAGAACTAGTAAAATTGACCAGGAAAATACAGAAATGTTAATAAATAGCTGGGATACTTCCAAGTGTTCTGTTTTTTTTAGACCATGTACTGAAAATACATATGATGGTACTGAGCCAAATGACTTTACAGATTCAAAACTAAATCTGCTATTTGTATATCAAAGTGAAGAAATGAAAAATTTATATGTCTTATATGGTTCTAATCTTGTTCTTCTCGACGCGACCTATCGAACCTGTAAGTATGCTCTCCCACTTTTATTTTTTAGTTGTCAAAACAAATGTGAACTATCAAATAGTGAGCATAATAATTACACAAAATGAAACAGCCAAAGCATTAGAAGAAGCTCTTATAATTATTAAAAATTGGTCGCCTCTCGTTAGACCAAAATATGGGATGGTTGATTTTGCAATGGAAGAAATTACAAGTTTGGAAAATGTCTTTACAGGAATTAAGGTTTTTATATGTAGTTTCCATCGAGAGCAGGCATGGTCAAGATGGGCTTCTAAGAAAAAGAATGCAGTGGTTCCCAAAGAAGAGCTTTTGTGTAAATTACGTGCCATAGCAAATGCTCCAACTCAAGATGAAATGGTTGCAGCAATAGAGGTATTAAAATCATGGAACCAATATGAAGCTGTGAAAGATTATTTTGAATTAACATGGTTCAAGGAAATTGAGAGATGGGCTTTGGCTTACAAACCAAATGACTTATTCATAAACTCGAACAATGGTGTTGAACGCTTAAATGAGGAACTAAAATATAGATATCTTCAGGGATATAAAAACTGTATGCTGTCTGAAATAATTAAGATCTTGGTTGAGAAATTTCTGCCAGAAAGATATAGAATTTACGTCAGAAAAAATCTGAGTATGCTTTCGCAGGCCAGATTATACAATGAACATGTACCAAATTATTTAATCAATAAGCCAAAATGGTTAATTGATCACATAAAAACAAAATTAAGAGCTGCTGAAGTTTATGTGGGTAGTATAAAAAAAATTTCACATGGCTTCTTTAAAGTTTCTTCTGAAACTAAGCATGATGCAGTTTATTCTGTCACGTTTGATGAACAGAAACAACTGTGTCAATGCACATGCTTAGATTTCAGAAGAAACCGACTGCTGTGCAAGCATATTGTGTTTGCTGGCATGAAGTTTCCAGCCTGGAGTTTGGAATGTACTGCAGAATGGCTATTTTCAACACCTATTTTCAAAGTTGATGAAGATTTAGTCTCAAGAAGTATTTCAGGCACCAGAAAACGAAAATATTCATCAACTGAAACTCCTTCAGGTGGAACATCAGATAATTTACCCACCATATCTGAAGAAGCAACGTTGAGTAAAAAAAGAAATTTGATCAATGAGTGCGATGCAAATTACAGATCAATTCGGTCACTCCTTTGGAATTTAGATAGCGAAAATTTACACAATGTAGCCAACTCTTTGAAGGAGATTTTCGAGTCTGCTTCAAAAACAGTTATGCGAGATGAAAATACTGATGAAAATACTGGTCTACCGCTTCAAATTGAAAAAAAAAATTAAACTAAAAAAAAGTAAAAGAATTGTCAAGAAGTATGGTCAAACTAAACCTCCATCGCCGTAGAAATACCAGAGTTGGAATAAAGGTGGATATACATAAAGAAACCATTTCAGTAGATGGCCAGTAATTAAAATTAGTATAAAACCTAAAGCAGGCTACAAAGAGCCTTTGGCAAAGGTGACACCCCCACCTATGAGTGGATAATAGAGTAATCTCGGGGACCTGCATGCCATGGATACACTAATACTTATTTTCAAATAAAATAATAAATTTCATACTTTTAGGATAATCTTAAATACTGAATATTATCATACTTGAAATACTTTAGTATGTGCATTTATTTTCGGATTCTTCAGAATTTATAGTGAAAAAACTGCTACAACTATATACTATCAAATACCAGATTTCAGACAATTAAAATTGACGATAATTCAAAGTATAACATATAAGTTTTGTACAATTCAATAAACATAATACATGTTATTATTTAGTAATATTTATTTCCTGAACAACTTTACAAACACTTATTTGAGAGTCATATAACTTATTTCTATTCAATAATGCTGCAGCTGCATTGATTGTCACGATCAAGACATATGAGCAATATAGTATTTAATGCACTCAAAACTGAATCTGGTAAAGACTTACGGCATATTGGTTACCAAATGCATCTCTAAAGCAAACCAGTATGCAGGGTTAGTTTTACAGGTTCACTTGTTTTCAAATTAGCAACTCTGTAAAAGTTTTACTCTTGGTTGTACTGACACTGCCTGCCTGTTCTTTCTCATATCTAATTGTAGTTATTTGGTTGTAATATGCAGTAAAGGTAAGAACACTGGTGTAATATGCTGTAATTTTTATGTTAGATAGCCCAGTTACATGACTACAACATTTTTCCACTACTTTTTTTACACTGTAAACTCGGTTTAGAAAGTTATTTTCCATGATTTTGGGGGTGTTGTATATAATACATCATATGGAATAACTACAGTTAAATGTATTCATTCAAAAGAGGATATATTGTCTTGCTGAATCTTTTCCTGTACTTATTGTTTGATTTAATATTTCCAATGTGGTGGATTGACCATCATGGAATCATAGCATCCAGTAGATCTTTCAATATAACTCCATTCAGATATTCACATTTATATTATTGTAAATTAACGTAGAAGACAGATTGACAGATATTCTCAGTTCATAGTGCCAAAGTGTTTTTTAATAATGCTAAAATACAATTAAAAAAAAAAAGATTACTCATGTTATTATGTAGAATTAATGTTAAAATTCCATACAAGAAACAAGCATCGATTAATTGTGTTATATAGAATTAAAGAATAAACAGTCAGGTAGAAATTTATAAATGCATAAAACACAACAAAAGGCAGGGCTGCATTTATTCATCCAGTTCATTGAAAAAGTTGTGGCTTTCCTAGACCCCTACCCCTTGTCGAACATGTAGGTTGTTTCGAATGTTGTCATGAGTAACTAACATAAAATATAATTTTTTCCCCAAATTAGTATGTTATAATTTTTGAATAAAAGAAGAGTGAGATAAGTGGTTATTCTAGCCGAAATAAAGTGTGCGTCGAGTTCCAGTAAAGACCCAAAAATGTCATCTGGGAAAGCTGAGAAAGGGGAAACGAGCTAGCTTTAACCTGAGTCTAGAGATGCATATAATACATACATACATAATACAGATAAGTGTGAGTAAACTGGTGCACTTAAATTATAACATAAGTCACAAATGTACATTACAGGTAAAGCATGTCAATTTAAATAATATGTGTATTAAGTATGGCCATAGGCCATTTACAATTATTTGGGTCATTCACATTATAATCGTAAACCCTTATAACAGGGTTGTCTTCAAATCTTTAAATTCAGAAAAACTTCTAAAATCGTAATTTTTTCTATAGAAGAATTTCTATCCTCAGAAAAATAAATGTTAAAGAATTGAAATATAAAATTTGTGCATTTTATGCAGAAAGTAAAAAGAAATTCATTATTTCATTATAAATTTAATCATAAACAAAAATCTGCTTAATATTTTTTAACAATAATAAGAGAATTTCAAAGATTATTTCAAGTATTTCATTTTGATGTCCAGTGATATTAAAAATTGTTTTAAATTTTGACTTACAGATGCCCTAGAGGAGTTGCATGGTATCTAAAATTTCTGTGAAACACAGTTTGAAAACCTTCAGACTACTCGAAAACTTCAGATTATGTGAAACAAGAAATGTAGATGTAAAGAGCAGTGATTAAAAAGTTTTAATGACCAAAATATTTTCATTCCATCAGATTATTTGTGTATTTTGAAGAAGACACAATCAGATAATAAGATCACAAATAGAGGATAAGTTTTTTTTTACTTTTTTTGGGGGGGGGGAATTATTGCATATACCATACACTTTAACATATAGAATATTCTTGGATTGTCTACTGAAAAAAGTACATAATATATGTAAATTTTAATATATAAGAAGTAATGCAAATATTTCAATAAATGAATGGATAAAAAATGGCCTTCTTAAACAACCTCATGTTTAAATTATTTAGAGGAATTTATGCGAACATGTTTCTGTTGGCATTAATTAAACATTAACAAATGTAGATGAACACAAATTGCATAATGTATTTTAATTGAATATATGTTTTGGAATGAAAAATGTAAACAGCCTTAATATACTTAATAACTCGGATTTGTAATGCATATATTTTTATTTCCAATGGCAGACAAAAGTATTTATACAGACACACTATCAAAAATAACACACACAAACAAATATATCACACACTAAATAAACAGAGAATAAGGAAGCCTATTTACTACTGCTTGAACATACTCTAGGCTTCCAGTAACAGCCACAGAGATCCTGTACAAAGAGAGCCATGCATTTTGCAGATGGTGGAGGTTCGTATCTTGGGCTTTTATCACAAAGGACGAATACAGAATTTTTTAATCAAAAAGTTTTGCTGAATAATGACGAGTTAAAATACAAGTTATTATGATGGAATTAGCCTTTGGGTATCGGAAATGAATATGTAGTTGAAGAACGAAGGTTTGCTTTAAATTACAGATTTCTAATACATTAATTTAATTATGTGTTTTAAAAATATCATTTTAATATAATATTTTTCTAATACATTTATTTTATTATCCAAAATTATTTTCTAATTAACAGAAAGATACAGCATAACTTTCAGTGATCCATTGTCAAAAAAAGGCTTCTTCTGGACAGCTTAATAATAGTACAAGGAAATAAGCTTATTTTATGCATGCCTTGTGGCATGAGATAATGAATTTCTGAAGTATTTTAAAAACTGTAAAAATATGTACATATACCATAGAAATGATTTTTAACACTAAATAAAATTCAATACGTGCCCATAGTAAGATCAACTTATGAAAGCTTTTTTACCAAACTGGAAAATCATTGCATAAGGAGGAAAATTTCCAAAAG